GTGAGGTTAAACATAAAGAAGACAAATCTCAGTTTTGAGGCATTCTTGGATTTATTTTGTCTTCGTCTTTCGAAGGGAATATATTCAGTATAGGTACTTAAACATCTGAAAAACTTCATTACTATCTTTAACGAGACGTACTTACCCCATCAATCTGCTTAAGAGTAAAGCTGATGCGCATTAAACTCGCCTGGAGAAAAAGAGTTCTCTCTTTGATACTGGAATTGCCTCCTTCGCGCACTAAAACCTCCATTTTATCCTTGACACAGTCCACGCTTTTGCCTTGTTTCGAGTGCTGCTGCTGGCTGCTTTTAGGCGCCTTTTTGCCTTGTTTGCTGCCATTTGCAAGGCCATCGCGAAATAGAAACATAAGCTGGGTGGAACTCAGTTGAAGGTTGCGTGCCAACTCATCTCGGATAGGCCTCCCAGGCGTAGAACCAACCCGCCCACATTCCGGCCCACATGTTCGACACTTTTATTAATGCGCTTGTAACGCCCGTAAAGCTGTCAGAATTCCATTCACAGAATGTTATCGTGTTCTGGGGGAAGAGAAAGAGAAAGAGCGTTGCAGCATTGTTTGCTATTTCCTCTGCCTGATAAGGCGGAATACTTTGTCGCTAACGCTTGTTGCTTTGCTGACAGTTTTAATAAATGAAAAGCTTGCCAAAGGATTGCAGGATTCAAAGGGCTCTTCACGGCCAGGAGAGTAGGCAGAATAGAATGTTGAATATTTCATAGGAAAAACAAGCTGTACATCAAGGGAGGAGTAAGTCGGAAACAAGCTGGAAAGAGTGCTCTCCGATCGGATAGTATATACCTAAAAGGTCTTACTTCTAACACCTTACTTAGTAGTAGAAGTAGCTACGAAGTCTGTTATTCTGAACTTTTTCAAACGAGTTCAATGCTTACTTATCAGATTCCAGAGCAACCTTTTTAATTAGCATTTTCGCGCAGGAGTCATTACCACTTTTCTTGCGTTTCCTCAAGTCCTGTTCTCATCATCATTAGTCACTTTCCCATGTACACTCGAATATATACACACAAATGCCTTGGTAAATTAGGGTCACTAATTTTTGTCAAGGACCTGAATTCCACTCCTAATTATCTACATAAAGCCCATGCCAGTGCAGCGAATTTAAGCGCCAACTGTCAATTAAGAGCGGCAATTACGAGAATGTGTTGCCACCTCTAAAAGCCACCACCCCCTGGGGCAGGAGGGGTGACCGCCAGAGGCCTTCTCATTTAAATTGAACACGTGCTTTTGGTCAGCGAATAAATTAGCGCGACTAAATTAAAAATTACACGAACACCAGCTCCGAATTTAAATAGACCGCCGACACCAAAGCGCAGAGACGACCGCCGCTTGTTTATGGCTTTTCACTTTGTTTTCCCGTACTGAATGTTGTTTTCCACTCGACTCCCATGCAAATTACATTTTGTGCACGAAATTAGGAAAAGCTCCGCTGAAATAAAATGGTTGAAAAATGTTTGAAGCCACACGGAGCAAGTTCACTGCAGACATGCATGGAATTTCATTTTTGCACTCTCGCCTGGGGAAGGCATTTATTTTTTGGCAATATATATATAGGGGTATGCATGGTCTATGTGAAAGCCAACTAAAACTAAAGCACTGACATCGATACATGGGCAAACAACGGCAGGACTAAGCTCTGAAATGCAAGGATGCCATTCAGGCGATGGCACGAGGTTTTTGCCACGCCAACAGCCAAGCGCCATCCACGATGACGGTTTTATATTTTTCTTATTAGTGGCTGACAGAGACACATTATGGTGATGACGTGGGCGATTTTTTGAGAGGAAATTCTACAAATATTGGGTAATAAAAGAAACTAAAATACTAAAATAATTTGATATAAGTATCACTTAACAAACTCCTTATTTTAAACAGACCTTTCCTCTGAACTGACTCCCATTATCTGCAATTGACAAATATTACGTAGTTACTGCCTCCTAATGATGGTTCTGCCAATAAAAAATCACCTGTCGCTGGCATTTTTCGACATTTTTCTACCCTTTCAAAGGAGGGGTATTATGTACATTCCTTTTTCGCCACAAATAAGTTTTCCATTTAATGAAATGTTTACATTCTTAATCCGATTTAAAAAGACAAAAATAAAATAAATATAAACACAACTATTAAAATCGTTTGTACTTAATATTCATTTCATGGTTGAATACCTATAAAAGCTTTGTAAAAAGTGTATAAAAACTTCGGCTGTTAGCTCGAATTTTCCTTTTTCGTTTCACATAATGGCTATAAATCCGCTTTCCGTTTGGTCCTTTCGAATTTCCCTGCTTATGACGTCTGTTCCGCAATTGGTAAGCGTTTTGTGTGTGTGCCAGCTTTTCTTTCTTCCTTTTTTTCGACTGCCCGCTAAAAATTTATGCGCACTTTTTTGCAGAAGCTCGACGGTGAAAAAAAAGGAAGAAAAATGCCTGCAAAGGATCCTGTGGCTCTGCGTCATTTGTTTCGCGTTTGCCATGGCGCCAGGCATACGATTGAAAGAGGAATTTAAGCTGAAAATAGTTTGCATTTCCCTTTAAATTGGAGTGTTTAAATCCACTAAAGAGTTTGTTAGTTATGCTCAATGAGAGCAACAAATAATTATTGTTTTTACCACAAAAAGGATAATAAAATATTTAATTAAAGGAAACCAAAAATGCTGTTAGGGAGAGAAATGTACAAAGGATAAGGCAGATGCCAAACAATTGATTTCAATTACCAAAGGTTCGTTTACATGGAAAGAGTTTGCATTTCCCTTTGATTTCAGTTAATTAATTCCACTAAATATTTAAGTCAGAATCAAAGACAATAATAAACAAACAATTTATTGTCCCAACAAGTAAAATAATATATTTTAATAATTGAACTGAACAAAGGTTGTAAATGAAAAGGTGTACAAAGGACACGGCAGATAGCCAGACAATTGATTTCAATTAATTTATGTAGGCAAGCGTTAAATGAAATTGAATTTAACATGTTCCCTCGGCCAAGTCGTGTGTGGCTGCCCTCTATCGATTTCACCCACTTCATGTTCAGGCAGGAGGCATCGTGGGTCATCTGGCCAGCTATATCGGCAATCGTTATTGATTTTTCCCTTCAGCTATATACCTTTCCCCTCCCACCCGGCTTATGCATATTGAGTGCGCGACAATTTATGAGCTTTATGTGTCACTTCTGATGCCACTTTCACTGGCATTTCCCTGCTCGCACTTAACCCCCTGCCCACCCCAAATGCCACACACACACACATTCGCAGAGACAGTCACGCATTCTTCGAGGGAATGGGTTTGGGCTTGGGCATGGACGACCCAACCCTCGGAGGCAAATGGTCGTCTCAGTTACAGGGAGAATGTTTTTGTTGAGGGCATATCTAAACTGTAATTGCTTGCCAGGGTGTAGTTGGGTTTTACGACCCAGACAGCTGTTTTTTTCGCTCCCTCTCGCCAGTATTTCATTTTATGCTGCCCCAAATCATAGCATACTATTCGGGATTTCAGCACTTTAGTTGCCTTGGAAAACGCTGTGAAACGCAACACCAATTAGTTAATTTATTGGCTAGCCTTTGTTGTGCAATCAAAGCTATCTAAATTGGTAGTTGGTTTAAATTGATATAATTTAGCATGATGCCAGCAACAGAAGCCACGGCATTATCTTTGTTTTGGCATTCCATTTTGCATTGTGTTGGGATTTTAAATTTAACTACAAACATATTTGTTATGTTTATAGAAAAATGGGCATAGATATCCGGACAACATTAATCTTTATTATTGCATTTAACGAAAATGAAAACTCTCAAATGTACAAAATAAATTTTAAAGAAAATAATGCAACTTTTAAGGTCAATACGAGCTTGGGAGATTATTTTCTGATTTATGAGTCGTAACTCAATCTTAATGAGTGTTAATAGCAATTAAATAGTAAATTTAATGTATGATAAAAGTGTTTTATAATGTTCAGTAGTTTATATAAAATCATTTCACACTTTTCATTTCAACTTTACAATAGTAATTACCCTTCCGTTCCAATTAAAGTTCTAAAAAATTGAAGAACCCACTTTGGTATGCTATTAGTACTCTCGGGAAAATCGCTTTTCACCATCAAGTTGTTTTCCTCATAAATAAACAACATTATTTATAGAGGCATGGACACGCCCAATTAGTTTCGATATATGTTTGCGAGGCAAGGAGACGTGGCACTGGCCCAGACCAACGCAGCTTAGATTAGACTTGCAATTTTCCAGCTGACTCTTGACTGGGAAGGATTCATTTACCCTCCCAGCTGAAATATCTTTTGTCATTTTAATTGAAAAGTGCAGACGTTCCACGAAGTCCTTCCATTCTTAGCTCGCCCGAACACCTCTTCCGTTAGCCACTTGGCAATCGTATTTGCGGATTGTCTGCCAGCCATTCTAGCTCTCAGGTCTTTTGTTCGTCTTTGTCTCTGTCACCATTTTTGACTTTTCATCGTTTGAATGCCGTTTGTTTGCCCGCTGATTTCGCCATTGTTTGACAATTTCACTCTTGAATGGAATTCTGATGGGAACCTTATATAAATGTCTTTGGCAAAACATATAACTGTATATACAAGCCATCTATTGCGTTGACTTGCATAAATTATCGACGGAAGTGATGGCTGAACGTAAATTCAAAGGTCCGATGTGATCTATGCGCAACGTGTTCATCCTCAAGCTGTTTTTCAGCCGTAACAAGCTGCTGGGCAATTAGGGACTTAAAATCAATGTTTTTCTCTTTTACATTTTCAAGGAAGGAGAAACATTTCCTTTGTAGTTGCACAATGGACTCTGCTTGAATGGGATTAACATTGTAATAATCCTAATTTATCAAATTCGATTTATTTATTTAGTTAAAAGTAGCTAAGAATGACTTATTAATTAATTAAGATTGAAATTTATTATTTATTAAATGTAAATTATCATCAAAACATACAACTAATTCACCTTTCATTCCCTTTTCAGAATCCGCAATAGTCGCGGCTCCTTGGACAGCATTGGAACCGCCGCGAACGGCAGCTCAGCGGCCAGCCAGGCCAGCTCCAGCGGCGGCTCCACCACCACCCACGCCCACAACAACAACAATAATAACAACAACAATAACGGAGTCGGCGGTAAAATGGATGGCAGTCCCCATCATCGGCCAGGATCACGAAATGGACGCGACAACTGGAGTAAAATGCCGGAACCACTCAATGGTCAGAAGGTGGACAAGTCGGAAAAGTCCTCACCTTCACGTCGCAGCATGGGCGGCGGTGGGAGTGGCAGTTCCTCTAAGCAGGGCTCTCCATCTTCCTCCTCGCGGACCAAAGGCGTACCGCCTAGTTTTGGCTATGTAAAGCGGGCCAATGGCAGTATCGCTTCCACCGCTGAGCAGCAGAACATCGCCATGATGATGGCCGCCGGTGGAGCGGCAGCCAATGGTCTCCCTTGTGGTCGTACTGCTCATGTATCGGCGGTTCCAAGGACAGCCAGCGGTCGTAAGATTGCCGGTGGTACTCAAACTCTACCTAATGATATGAACAGTGAGTTGAAAGACAAGTTATATATCTGCAGGGTAACTAATATTCTGCCTTTCTTTTACAGAGCTACCACCTAATACACAGCACCGAAGCTTCTCCTTGACCGGACCAACGGCCACTCAATTGAGTCAGTCCATCAGAGAGCGACTGGCCACCGGATCGCATAGCCTGCCAAAGCCCGGCAGTGATTTGCATGTGTTCCAGCACAGGTGTGTATATTATTACGAAAAATATTTAAAAATGTTCTTTAAAATGATTAAATATTCCTCCAGAATCTCCAATCGGGGAGGAGCACGTCACGATGGATCGCTTTCTGATACACAAACCTATGCGGAGGTCAAGCCCGAGTATAGCTCTTATGCCATGTGGCTGAAGCACAGCAATACGGCCGGAAGTCGTTTGTCCGATGGTGAGTCCGTCGAACAGCTGCAGATCGGTTCGCCGGCGATGACCCGACATGGTCACAAGATGATACACACCCGAGGTGGACCACCGGGTCAGATGGCGGGTCAAATGTCGGGCAACGAGTCGCCCTACGTGCAGAGTCCGCGTATGAACCGCAGCAATAGCATAAGGTGTGTACCAATGAAGTGACTAAGTTTTTATCTTTTCCCTTCCTGCATGTTCGTATCTGAATCTCTATTCTTCTCTCTTCCCTTTGTAAACTTGGTTATCCCTGAAAAGCTACTTGAAAGAACGGACATATCCAAGGTGAAAATGGAGCTTCAGCACAGTATTTTCGCATCGCATTTCATTTTGCAAAACTGTGTTTATTTTTATTTTAAGTTTGTAATTAACATTCAGCCTCACCTTTTCCACTTGCACGTCAGGCTCTTTCCTTTTACAAAGTCGCTCTCTGTCATCCAATGACATGGCCAACTAAGACAATGTCATCTCATGAAAGTATCATCACAAAATACAATAAAATACACCTCTTCTTTATTCCTTAAAATACAATCGATTTCCACTCACCTACACCTTCTCCGTCTGTCAGGTGTATTTTCCTGTTATTTTTTCTTCTTGCTTGAAGTATGCAAACAACTTTTGGTATTTCTGTTTTCACTGGGTGAGAGCCAAGGACTCTCTGATGCCAGGACATATGCTTGTTTTTTCATGTGTCCTCCTGCATATTTTAAAGGTTCACTTAAAAGCCAAAAGGGAAGGCCCAGTTATTTAAAGAGCAAACTTTTCTGATGCTCCTGTGCTGGGGCAGGTTGACGCCCACGGACAATGTGGAAAGCTCTTTGGGAAAACGAGTTGGGAAAAACATTCACAAAAAAAAATATAAAAAGAAAACCCCAAACGGCAAATGGAAAACGTAAAAAAACAAAGAACAGCCTGGTGGCTCGGAGGTGTTGTGGATGGCCAGATTATTATTTGACATGTCAATAGGTTTGCCAACCCCTGACTTGGCAAGGGTGCAGATGAAATGAAGTTCGCTTTTTTTCTGTGTGTTTGCCTTGTCAGCAAGTTTTCGACTGCAGTTTGTTGTTAACGGTCAAGTGGTTCATTAAAAAGTGTTCCACAGGAGAAGAAAAAGTTTGAAAATAAGTGAGAAAGCGTTTCGAAAATTGGTTAAGTTTTACTTTTAGGTTTGGATAAGTTCTCATAAATATGACAAATATTTACACAGTTTCTGAGATTTTGGCAGCCCAAAATCTTCCTTTCTTACTCTGATTTCCTTAATCTGCTTTCTGCTTTCTTCGTTTTGTATGCCAAGCTTTCCCTTCGACATCAATTATGCCATAGAAAGTGTGGAAAGGATTGTGTCAAGGGAAGTGGAAGCCCTAGAAACCAGTTCGGTGGCTTGTTATCAAGTTTTCCACTGCCATACACATTCACCCGAAGTTTGTGGCAAATAGCCCTAGAGAAAACCGACAGCTCTTGCCACCAAAAGCAAACAACAGAACCCACTCACACCGACAGGCGCACACATGACGTATACGTAATATTAGATTTGCATGCAAAATGCCATTAATGTCACAGTTATCAGAGCAGAGCAAGTGGACAGGACAGGACAGGACAAGGCAGGATGAAAACCAGCGCCCCATTCTGTATCCTGCATCCGATTTCTGTTTGTGGAGCGGTCACTGTGCGGGCTTTTAGAAATCTCTGCATTTTATGACAATTTGTCTGGGGACTTAAACGCAACGATGCCTCCACCCAGGATCAGGAGCAGGACCAGTACACCCTTATCATTCTGATTCACAGTGCCCCAACAACCAATTTGTAACAGAATTAAACGGAAATGTGGGCCTTTTTGAAGAGCCCAGAAGCGTTCAATTTTCATAATGAAATTGGCTTCATAATGTTGGCAAACGCAACGGAAATTTGCAACTGTCTGACCACATTTACTCTTCACAAAAGTGATGATAATTGAGATGCATGATCGATCGAGGTTTAAATTGCAACGGAGATGAGTATTGCGAGAGTGATTGTGGTGGCTTTCTTTACTTTTTCAACTATTTTAGTTTTAAATTTTATCCTTTGTATCAGAATAACACACACCATTCTAAGATAAATGCATAAACCCTCTTTAATAATTGCACTTTCATTCATATCAATGCCTCATATTAGCCTAAGCATCTGCCTTTGAATCATTTGCGCTCTCATTCAATGTCAAATTAGAATCGCCACATGAGACTAATGAGATTCCATTTCAGATCCACGAAATCCGAGAAGATGTATCCCTCGATGCTGACTCGTGGCGGCGACGTGGAAATCGAGCCGTACTACTGCCTGCCTGTAGGCACTAACGGTGTTCTCACGGCCCAAATGGCAGCTGCCATGGCGGCTCAATCGCAGGCGGCGGCACAAGGCAACCCCGGCGTAGGCGTCAATGTGGGAGGCGTGGCCTGGAGCCAGCCTACTTCACCTACACCCCTCAACCGCGGCCCCTTTAGCACAGCGGCAGCTGCCTCGGTTCTATCACCTACCCATGGTTCCACATCAGCCGCAGGACTCGTGGGTTCTGGTGGGGGAGCGGGTGGTGCAATGGTCGGACATCGGCTCACATATCCCAAGAAGAATGACGAAGGTGAGAATTGGTATTACACTCAAAAAGATTTTAGCCTTCGAACTAAGTAGTTTGGTTTTAAAATCGGTGTAAGAATAATGAACGTAGTTCTACATGATTTTTTTCAAGGATTAAGTTTCTTCTGAAGTTTTAAACATTATTTTCTGACCAAGGAAGTTTTTTTAAGTGCAGGCTTAAATGCAGATTAATGCAACTTTACCGTTCTGTTTCCGTTTCAGTTCACGGCAGTGCCGCCTCCTTGCTGTCCGGGGGCAGTTCCTTATACGGAAACGCCGAGGAGCGACAGGCGCATGAAATTCGGAGGCTGAAGCGCGAACTGCAGGATGCCCGGGATCAGGTGCTCAGCCTGAGCAGCCAGCTGTCAACCAATGTGAGTACCTCGCCATGGAAATGCTTAGTTTAAGTTCCGATGAATAGTGAGTGCATTCGAATCCTTCTGCTCGGCTGCACTCGGTGCCAGAAACTTTCAACTCTGTCACACGCATTTGAGGGGAAAGAGACTTACTGACAGGCTAAGAAACTTTTCGAGTCATTTTTTATCACTTGAAAAGGTATTTGGCTGAAAATTATTTTATCATTTGCTTTCTGTTTGTGACTGATTTATTAGGATTATAAAGAAGTGAAAGAGAAGATAGCCCAATTTGTCATGGAAAATACAGAAAATTTTATATTTAACCAGAATTAATGGCATCCTTTTTCCAATAAATTAAAAGCCAATTTATTAAGCATAAAATCGGACTTTTCAACAGTCAAATTAACACGATCGAATAAATCTTAGCTCATTTCCATAACAATCCGAAAAGCATGCTAGCGAATATGTTTAAAGGCAATTGCCACTTGGCAGTGCAACAACCAAGTCAACCAATTTAATTTCACGTGAATAAGTTACGGCAAGAAAGGAAAATACTTGCCCCACCTAATCTGGCCCACCACATCTTTTATAGTTCAACCTCATCGTCTGCATTGTGCCCGGCCATTAATTTAAGTGGTTATGCCGTGTACTTTGGGTCACAATTTATTTGGTTCCCGCAGCTGTTGCAACATTTTGCGCATTTTCATGGCCTACGTTTAGGGGCGATGCTGAGAAAAAATGTGGCAACTGTGCTGCCTGCTTCGCCGCTTCTGCTTCCCCGCCAGAATGGTGTGCCAAAAAGCTTTGCCGCTTTGAAAGATTCATTCGCTTCGCTTATCAGGCAGTCAGCTTGCATTCAACTTTTCAACTTTTTCCGCCAAGTTGCCTTTCGTCATATTCAGTTCGAGTTGCCCGATGCACCCGGAGAAATATTACAAATTATTTTATTTGATTTTTATATATTTTTTTCATATTTCTGCAGATTATTTCTGCAAGTGTACAGACTCAAGTCCTAGACTGTGTCTGTCTATAAAAAGGTATGTGTGCGTGTTGTCAACAAAAGTCACGCTAAAGTCTGATAAACTTCCGCGGCAGACAAAAGTACTCGAAGAGATGGAGACCAACTTTTGCCTACTTTCGGGCGACTTCTTATTTTGATATACCTCCATATGGGTCTGAAATTGATTTAATTTACAAATTTTCTTGCCAACAATTTTCATTACAAAATAAAACAAAGTTTAAATTGCATTCCACTGAGGGGAAGGGAGCCTTGGAGGAGTCATTGTACATTTTATGCTTGTCTGCAGTGTCGAAACGGTATAAAGTATTTTATAGCCATTTCTCCTAAGTCAGCCGCCCACCCACACTTTTGGCCATCAAATTTATCGGGGCCAGACAGGCAGACAACATAAATCTTTTATTTTTTCCACACTTTCCCGTGGGGGTGTGGGAAGGTCTGGTGCCAAGGTCAAGGCGTACGTGTAAATTGCCAGAAACCGGCGTGATGGATTCAATGACGATTTGATGGACAAGAAACTTTAAGTTGATTGCAACTTTTACCAATTTTCCCCCACTTTGCCATTTTTCCCACTTTTGCCAGCGGAGCGAAGAACTTTTCCGCTGCCCAGCTGCCATAAAAGTGCAAACAATGTGGAAGCACAGAATAATTGCAACGGAGTTATGCCGACCAGAATAGAATCTCACCCAGCTGATATGGTCTGATATGCGGTCTGGATCTGACTCTGGTTGGCTAAGTGGATTAGGTGTTTGGGTTGGGGGAAAAGTGGCTTGGAAAATGGGTCGCCTTGAGCGTGATTTATCTGTGAGTGGGTTGTGCGAGAGCAAAGAAGTACATTTACCATAATGCGAAAACTTGAAATGGAATCGGAGTTGGCTGCTGGTCAAACTTTTCCTTCATTGTGATCACACCTAAGATACCACAATGACAAATTGCGATTATTATTTATTGTGCTGGCCGAAGAGAACTATAATTCTTGATTTCGTTCTGAAATAATAATTTAAAATAATGAGTTTTAACAGAAACTTCTTTGGACTTAAAAAACTTTAAAGTTAAGTTTACTAGTTTTTCCAAGAACTAAAAATAAGGAATATAAACAGAGATTTTCCTTTGCTCACTTCCCTTTTCAATTAAGTTAACAAATACTGAAATGAAAGAAAAAGTTTTTACAATTTCAAGTGCTTCTGCCATTTTTAACTACAGTTTGGCTATTTCTTTGGCACTTCTGTACCTCCTTCGACCCCCTTTCATTGTGGATTAAAAACTTTTTAATTGCCCATTGACTTTGATGTCGTTTTCTTTTGGCTTTCCCTGCCATTGTCTTGGCCAAAGTTTCCTGCGTTAATTAAATTTCTGCCTCGGTTTATAATGGCATAAATGCCGATATGTCGCTCCCGCACTTCCTCAGTCTGTCTATCGATCTCTTTTACCTCCTCGTCATGAGTCCACGTCTCTCGCCCGTCTGTCAGCAGTTTTGCCGCATATTATTTGCCATTGGCTCTTTTTTATTACGAGTATTATTTTTTTTTTATTGACAGACGCCCGTTGTGGAGGCTTCAACGTCATGAAATTTCACTTTGCGGTAGTTGGGAAAACTGAAGCTTCCACACATTGGCAGTTGGTTTGGTTTTTCGCATTTGTTTGAGAGGAAATTGAGATGTGGCAGGGGCACTGAAAGTCTGACAATGCAGTTTGTGAACTTTTCGCAATCCTCTCGAGATGTGTGCCCGGTTGTGTGTGTGTGGGTAGTTCCAGGAGGTTTTTCGGAAATATTTTTCATATTGTGCCATTTAATTTTTGGAAAATTTACTCGTATTTCAAAGAGAATCGGTGGCTGGGGATGTGCATTGTGTGCTTAAATTATTAAGAGGAAAATGTTGAATTTGTTGTTTAAGTTTTCAAATGAAATTCAGAATTAATTATTTTTATTTTTTGGGAATTAATTTCCATGATAATTCACTTAAGCTAGCCCATCTCTGATACTGGCATTATTTCTCCTGAACTTTAATTCAAGCCAATCCCCCAAGCGAATATCCCTTTTTATGACCCACCTCTTCGCCATCCCCAACTTTTCTTATCAGGCTAAGCTTTATGGTAGTTCATAATACGCTTTATTCCGAAGCTCACATAAACCCCAAGCAGCTTATAAAACTTCCAACCTACATCAACTTTAAACAGCTTTCGGCTGAGTCTGAGTCGAACTCCATTCAGTTCGTGCCCCCTTGCCACACTTTGGGTGTATAAAAACCCCAATTGAGCAATCTTATCATTGACCATAAATACTAAACCACAACAAAAACATCAAACTACACACTGTAGGGAAAAGCGCCAAGCAACGCGCCCATTTATCACGCACTCGAAATTGACCCAAGTGACCTGAGGGAGCCCAGGCAGGGGGCAGAACGACGGACTCTCCATGCATGCCAATGTAATAACATTAAAAGCGTGATAGAGTCACCCAAAACAACCCCTCTTGAACTATTCCCCCTCGACGCCCTGGCGATAAGACAAAGAGTAGCAAAACTATAAAGCATTTGGGTGATCGCCTCAAGCGCCAAAAACTCGCGCCAAATCTGGGAGGAAATGCCAGATGACTCTACCTAAGTGAATGAGTTTGAGATACAGATGAAGGTTGTTGTATCCTTTTTTCTGCTTTTTAATTGATTTCGATATTGAGAACAAAACACACTTGAAAATATTAGAGAGGAAAGTGCATTTTATATTGTCCAGAAACCTAAAACTTTAAGAGAATTATCTAAAACGCAGCTTCATTTTATATAATTTTATTATAATAGTTTTAGTTTTTTGATTGTCTCAATCTCTAGGTACCCTTTAAGTGACCCTAAGCTGCAAGCTGAGCAATCATCTAAATTGCTTAATGGGGGCAACGAAAATGTGGTTGATTGTCTTAAGTAAAAAATGAGACATGAAACTAAGGTTCATGCTCTCCAGTATTTCAGTTCCTTATGTTAGACTTACCTTAGCTTACCTTAAGTGGCAATTATGACTAATAAAACTTATGTATTGCTCTTTTTCTTTTAGGTAAGTGCACTTCCATTTAATGCTTAAGCAATATATAAGTATAAAGATGGGGTATGTACAAACTACTATATAAATTAAAAAACCATTTGTTTCTATAAGTTTGCCTTATATAGCATTATGATATCAAATAGGGCCATTAATTTGACTTCCTTCATCCATCATTTATGCTTTAGAGCTGTCGCCACTTGAGCATGAAATCAATTCTGAGCCGCTGTTTACTAATAAACCATTTGGGATATATGCCAATGGCTTAGCCGAAAACAGTTAAACTAATGCCAAGTCAGTAAGTTATGCAGTGCTGGGCCAAAAGGCAGTTACAAATATAGGGGACTTCTAGAGCCAATAACCCGGCTTCATCTCGATTGGTGATAATCAATCATCTTTTTTGTAGCTATCGCCCCTACTAGACTCGTTAAACAAGCCACCCAGAAAAGTTTTTTACAACTTTATTATGTCCCAGTCCTTGGGACTTGGCCTCCATATGAAAGTGCAAAAGTACAAAACTATGCGCAGACAGTTCTTTTCTGTGGCGCCGCAAAGTCTCGCGCCAAAAATAAACGACTTCGGCTGCTGGCTGTCCTTTTCCCCACCGGGCTGTCCTTCACTTTGGCCTTACGACCAGCCGCAAAACACAAAACACAAATTTGCAATTTTTTCCACTTTGTTGTTCGTCGTCGTAGTCGTCGTCGTCCTGGCCGCCAAGGAAGCTGCGTCTGTAATTTTTTTGCGCACATCTAAATAAGGGGTCGTCGATGGGGCAGACGACTGCGACAGGGTCCGTATAAAAACATACGTAAACTACGGCCGAGCCGCCACATTGGCGCCTGACTTTGGTCTGTGGCAATCCTGCAGGATGTTCTGGATGTTCAGACCATGCAGGCAGCTCAAATCCCCTGCGTATTAAAAGCTGGATTAAGAAGTTTCGCATGTCTGCGTCGATAAATATGTGTTAGCTTCA